CTGCCCACAGAAGGGGAAAGAGGAAGTGAGTATGACTGAAAGCTCTTTGAGACCAGGGACTGGCCCTCCTGTTCATCTCTGTGGCCCCCCTCCCCCCAGTTACCTAGTACTGGGCTTGGCAGAACACAGGCACTCCAGCCAAATTTAGCAACCAACTATACAATCTCATTTGTATCCTCACAGCAACCCAATGGGATAGTTATTATCATCCTTCATTTTAGAGTCATAAAGTGGGGGCTAGGAAGGCAAATGCATCTTCTTCCCAGGGTTACACTAGCTGTAGTAGCACAGTCTGTGTAACACAAGTCCATTCCTGTTCGATTGCACCCCTCTGCTGTCTTCACCCTTAACTCTCTGTGATGCTTCCCTGATCAACACTCTGGCTGGTGGGGAAGGCCACTGGGTCAAAAGGAAAGCCCAGCAGGCAGAGATTGGTGAGGGGTGTGGGTGATAAAATTTCAGGCCACTCCTGGGTTGAGCTGGATCCTAGCTGTTCTGTTGCCACACGTGACCTAGGATCTCAGACTGTGCTAGTAGTGGGCAAGACGACCTCTGGTGAACACACACAATGAGGGACTATGCGGCAATGAGATGTTGGGAAAGGAAAAAGTGTGGGAAAGGACGACTGCTGAAAATAGCAGAGACGGGCACTCTGGCCTTCCTGGTTATCTACTGCATCAAAGATACAATAAAATACTTTTAGGTAGTTCTTCCTGGTGTCCATCGTTAAGTCCTTCCTGCTGCTATCTAAACCCATTCTTCTAACTTTATTGCATCTGGTCTTTTCACAAACAACTTTTCACGTCCTATAAATTAACATCCTTTCAGGGGTTCTAGCCAGCAAAGAAAGCTTCTTTTCTCAAGGCAATAGTGAAGAGAACTTGCCACCAAATCTACCCAAGGAAATCAATTGCCAAACTCATTGCCTAAAGGGTCTGATTTAAGAGCCCTGGACTCAGCTTCTGGCTCTACCAGGGACTGTCTGTAACTCTGGACACGTTACTTGGCCATTCTGTGCCCCAATTCCCACATGTAGAGTAGGTACTATCTGTTAAGCTCCTATCCTAGGAGCTTGGCAAACAGTCGGTTCTCAGTAAGCAGAGTTGTGATCTGGTGATAACATGAATCTGCATCTTCATGGCACTCCACTCACTGATTCATTCACCTTTGACTTGCCTGGGCTGGGAGTTTGCACCTCCAAGTCCAGCCCTCAGTTCCAGCCCTCAGCTTGTGCCTGCATAGTCCTGGGAGGCCTGCATAGTGCCCCGCCAGTCTACCCCAGGAGCAGCCTATGCCTGAGCAGTATCTCCTCTCAGCCTTCCAGCTCCACGTTTGTTCCCAGTGGCCGCCCCGACTTCTACAGTTCCCAAAGCTGCTCTCCAAACAATATGGCCACCCCATCTTCTGTTTCTCTGAAAGCTCCTAGGATTCCTTTTCAGCCAGGGACCCCTGAGTCACATACCCAGGCCTCCAGTGTTCAGAAGCCATGTCAATCCATCCAGCTCTGAATTTACATTTGCATTTCCAAAGTCCAATTTACATTATAATTATTCCTGTCTCGCCAGGCAGGGGGACTCCACATATATTTGCAGAGAGGCCTTTTGGCCAACTACAGGGATTGGCAATCACATCTTCTTGGGCCTCATTCCCTTAGCACTAGGGCTTTTTTTCTTGGTTTCTTAGAGTGACCACACAACCACATCTTTCATTCTTGCTCCTTTTCTGGGTAAGAAGTATACCTGGGCTGATCTAACCTACAGGGCTGAACCCATTTAACAGTCCTTGTCATGGTACTCTGTCCCATTCTTGACTCCAACCAGATGGAATACAAAGGATATACATTTTATCCATCAATTTAGCAAAAATTTAAAATAGTGGTCAAGGTTATGGTGAGATGGGCAATCTCATATACTACTGGTGGAAGTGTAAATTGGTATAGGCTTTTTGGCAGGCAATTTGGAATTATCAAGACCCTTAAAAACAGGTATGCATTTTGACTCAGTAATTACCCTTACAGGAACCTACACTAAAGAAATGTCTGGAAATTAGGATTAAAATATATGTAAAATCAATTCATAAAAATAGTAATAATCTAAATGTTTAATATAAGAAAATTCAATACACATTTATCTACAATTTATAAGGATGTTATGGAGGAAAAAATTGCTCATGCCATAATGTTAAACTAAAATATGATCCTGATTTTTTTTTTACCAACAATAAACATTCAAATAAAATGACTAGAAGGAAATTAACCAATTGTTAATAGTGTCTGATTCCAGGGGGTGGGATTATAGTGGATTATAATAATAAAAGCTAACACTTGCATAGCACTTTTCTCAGCACTTTACACATATTTATATACACTCACTCCTTATAGCTACCCTACAGGAGAAATACCTTATTATCCCCATTTTGCAGATGAGGAGACAGAAGTGCAGAGAGGTGAAGTGACTTGGTGAACATCACACAGTTGGTAATTTTCTTCTTTGTAGTTGTCATTCTCCAGATTCTTCACTATGAGTATATTTGGCTTTTATAATCAGAACAAAAAGGGATAAGCTTTGTTGAGGAAAATCAAAGGGTAGTGCTGGCTTACAGGGCCTCCTTGGCCCAACTGGAGACAGCTCTATAGAGCTGTCTCCAGAGTGTTTTTCTGTGGTGCTCCAGGTCTTGGGGGTCATTGTGATCTTCTCTTGCCCTATCCTGTCTGGCCACAGCCCACCGCTCAGGGCCTGCCCCTCTCCTGCTTGATATACCTCATGGCTCATGCCCCACCTTTGGCCTTTGTACCTTGCAGGAAAGCCTATGTCACTAGCTGGATGCTCACCTCTATTGTCCATCCCTGGAATAGCAGAGGCTGGAAGTGGACTGGCTTTGCCTGCCAGCCCCATTTCAGGGACATCACCAAGAGGGATGTGGAGGACATTTATCTTCAGGCCCCTGTCCCTGTGGATTCTACAGAGATTTGTTTTCTCAACTGTAACACAGAGGTGGCATCATCTAGAAAGAGGGGCTAATCTCCTTACCTTGGCCCTGGCCCTTCTTTACTCTGCAGAGGCCACTGCCTTATCTTTTCCCAGCTTGACCATTGCTTACACAGGTCACAAGAACTTCTGTGTGGGTGCGAGCATCAGCCACCCAGCTTCCCTGAGGTGACACCGAGCTTCAAGCAGGTTCAAGTGAAAACGGAAGCTCTCTGGAAGGGAGGAATAACTGCAGCTCTGTCCTTTCTCATCCCCTTTTCATCCCCTGCCCTGACCACTGTTCCAAATCCAGATTCCAAGAATGTTTAGCACGGTTTGCGGGGTAGATGTGGAAGCTGGCTCCCAGGATATGGGGAAAAGGAAGAGGGTGAGAGGGTGCTATGAGCTCTCCTGCAGGCTGGAGCAGGAGCATCAGATCCCACTACAGGGAGCTCTGCTTCTTGGCCCTCTGAAGGACAAGAACAAAATAGAGTTTGGGAAAAATAATTGATAGGACACCTGGGATGTTGTCCTGGCTTGTCCTCTGTCTGTGTGACCCAAGCCAGTCCCTTCCCTTCTCTGGGCCCCAAAATCCTTCTCTGGAAAATGACAAGAACAGTGATCCGTTTCACTAGGCTGTCATGAGAATCAAGAGACACCTACACAGGATGGGAACACAGTTTCTAGAGTAGAAAACAGGGTGGAATCATGAGTTGGTTAGGAAGCCGAGAGACTTCACGCCAGTACTTTTCCCTTTCAAAGGCTCCATTTCCTTATCTGTGTAAGTACACCTGGGGGTGGGCACCCTTGAACAACTTTGTAAAAGCATTAAACCCACTTCCTAGAAAAGTGCACAGCACACAAAGTGTTGCACATGATTTCAGGAAGGCCTTTAATTTCATGGGTCCCTTTTGTGGGCCACTTCAAGGTCAGCAATCCCTGACCGAGGTGAAGGGTTTAACCCCTTCTCTAGTCGGCTTTCTGGGTGTTAGGCAGCCTCTGCTCACACACCTACGGTGATAGAGAACCCACTCCACTCCAAGTAACTGGGTCCACGCTTGCAGAACTCTGGCTTTCCTTATGCTCAGCTGACATCTGCCTCCCTGGAGGTTTCTCAGAGCCTTCCTTGCCTAAGGAAGCTGAAAAATGCGTGGGGCCAGGTGTGCTCTGTGCTCTGGGTTATCTGGGCAAGAGAGATGGGGTTTCCTCCACTCAAAGCCAAGTCAGCTACTTTGCTGCTGCTGCTCCCAGAGGTGGGTGCTGGATTTTTTGCCTCATAAAGTTGTCCTCCAACTCACTCTGGAGCCAGCTTGCGGCCGGGCCCTGGCAGCCGTCTGGTCTGCTTGACTTACCCCAAGGAAGGAGGCAGGTGGGGGGTGGGGGCTTGACAATGACTCTTGCACTAGGCTGCAGCACTCTCAAAACCAGGGTTTAAGGCCCCACCCCCACCCGACTGTCCCTCCAGCATGGGATGATGTCCCGATGTGGGCTCAGGAGCCAGAGAGAGCATGTTTCAACTGAGGGTTCCTAAGAATAAATACCTCAGCCAGAAGCAAGGAGTGTTAAATGAAGTAATGAATGTGGCCAACATCCATTTTCCTCCTCCTTCTGCCCCTCTCCCTAAGGCTGTCTGTTTCAGTGGGGCAGAGTTAGTGCAAAGCAGCTAGATTGAGCATTTCTTGAGTATTTAGTAGGGACAGTGTTCTGAGCATGTTAGATCTTGAGAAGAAACCCATCAATAGGTTCAACTTGATTGCCCAAGTTCACACAGCTGGTAAAGGATGATGAGGGATTTGAACCCAAGTCTGGCTTCCCTAAGCACACATTCATAACATGGCATCATTCTGCTTCCAGGCAAGGGAGGGAGGATGACACCCTTCCACACAGAGCAGCTTCTTTTTTAAGGTTCTTTAAGGGCTGCCATTCAGATTGTTCTAGAGAAAAAAGAAGCAAAAAAGTCAATGGATTCCCTTAGCCCCCAAATCCTTACCAAATTGTACATGGAGTAACTTCTCCCTCTCTGCCGATGCTCAGCCTTCCCACGTGTGTGAGACCATTGCTGTGGAAAGAAGCTGGGCCTGACTTCTGGGCTCTGGTGTGAAATAACAGATCCATGCATTCTGAGTAAACAACAGAACCCCTTCTGGCTTCTACAGGAGGAACCAAATGGCTTGAGCATTCAGGTAAGCAAGAGGGGCTCATGAAAGGAAGTTTGTTCAGGTCAGATCAAGAGAAACAGATACTTCTTGGGTGGCCGGGTGAAGCATTTGGTGGCCCGAGCTGAGGGTAGGAACAGGGTGGAGTATCAGAGAAACCTGGGGAAGAAGGTGACACCGAGCTGGAGTAGGACTTGCTCAGGGCCTCTGGGGTCCTGGGCCAAGGGGGATATGGGGCTCCTGTGCCTGTCCAGTCTACTCTCTAAGGCACCCTCATTCAGCCCCACCCTCCCGGCTCGCAGCCTGGCCAGAGCCTAACTCCTCCTCAGGGAAGGCATTCCTGGGCCTTCCCAAGGCCCACCTGGTGGGCCATTGCCATAGCGGCCTGTGGGAGCTGAGAGGAGGAGCAGGAGAGGAGTGGCCTGGGGACTGTTCCTGCAGGAAGGCCTTTCCTGGGTCTTTTAGTGTCTAGCCTGAGGGGATGTTGCTGTCCGTGGCTCATGACCGGCAATTGAGGCCATGGCCTTCCTCAGCCCACCCAAGGCCAGTCTCCAGTCTGAATGGTGTGTGTGTGTGTGTGTGTGTGTGTGTGTGTGTGTGTGTGTATCTGTTAATCTGTATATGTGTGTGGGTATACAGAACCCCAGGGTACCACATGTGTGTATGTATAAGTGTGTATGTGTACACTCATAGGGGTACACAGAGGCACCACAAGCGCAGGGGCCCTATATGTATGTATGTCTTTGTGAATGTTCCTTAAACAGTAGGGAGAGGAGGAGAAAGACAAAAGCCCTAAATGACTCTGGCTGTTGGAGGAGCCAGCCTAGTGTGGTGGGTGTAGGGAGCGGGCCGGCCAGGGGCCTGATTGGAACCAGACTCAGCAAGGAGGGGCTGTAAATGTTTTTTGCTGCCTGTCCTGAGAAATTTATGTCACACCCACTCCATCATCCTGGCGAGGGCAGCCTCTTCGAGCTGCCTGTGGTTCCGGGCTTTCCAGCATAACCAGCAACCACTCTGGGGGTCCCTGAGCCTCCCTCAGTCCCAGGCTTGAGTGGACCCACCCCATAACGTCCTGATGCTGACAGGGATGCTCCAAGCATGGGTGGATGAGGATGAGGAGGACAGATTCCCACAGAGCCTGAGCATGGGGCCGGGACACATTGTGGAGGTGTAGGGAGGAGAGAAGACAGGAGAGGGGGCTGTGCTGCATTCAAAATCTCTTCCCTGCCCTCTTTCTCTCTTAATGGGGGATAGAGACAGAGAGTAGACAGAGATGGACAAGATGGCCCCTAAGGTAGGTTTCAGAGACTATTTGGTATACAGATGAAAACTGACACCCAGAGATGAAAGGGGACTTGTTCAAGGCCATGCATCAAGGGAACCAACAGCAGGGCCAAGACCGCAACCCAGTCTCTGCCCATCCTTCTCTATGTGGCCTTTCTCTCTACCTCACAGCCAGAGACTTGTCTCAACCTAGGATTTGGCCCCGTGTTTTTCTGATCATTTTACTCCATCCTTAAAATCCTCCCCTAGTTTCCCTTTGTTCTTAAGAAAGAACACAAGACTCCTGAGCACCAATTACAGGGTCTGCCCTGGTCTAGCCCCTGCCTACCTCTCCATCCACATCTGGTACTAAGTTCCCAAGCTCCCTCCTATCTCTGGGCCTTTGCACATGCTGTGCCCTCTTCCCGAGATGCTCTTTCTTCCCTTTTTCTGTTATCTGACTCCAACTTCTGACCACAGCTCAAGTGTACCTTCCTAAAGGAAGTGTCCACATATGTTACTGGCTGGGATCCATTTTCTTCATTTTGCACTCTCATGGCACTGTGGACCTCTCCTCCACGGCACTTCTCGCTGTTGCAGTTTGTATTTTGCTGTATTACTTTGTGATGAATGGCTACCTTCCTTGCCAGACTCAAAGCTCCACAAGGACCAGAACCACAGCTGCTTTGGCTCACTGATGCTATCCTAGTGCTCAGCCCAGGCCAGACAAATAACCCCAACAATGACAAGGACATCAAGAGCCAATGTTTGAGGCTTACCATGTGCCAGGCACACTTGCAGCTGCATTACTTAGAATAAAACAATTTAATCTTCCCAAACTCTTCGAGGCAGTTTATATCATTATCCTCAACATACAGATCAGGAAACGGGGGCGCAGAGAAGTTAAAGAACTATACGGAGGTTACACAGTAAGTAGTGAAACTGGGATTTGAACCCAGGCTGTGTGGCTCTGGAGCCTGTGTTTTGACATTACTCTAAGTGCTCAACAATAAATATTTTTGATGACATACTTTTGTCTGAGCCTCCTCAACTTGGATCGTTGAGTGAGTTCCAGCCACTGAGCACGCCCTTGGATCTTGGAGTACTCCTGCTCTAATACCCTGCCACCTCCTTAGGGTCACTTCTTCTGAGTCCCCTCTCCTGGCCTCCCCTGTACACACTGCTTGCCTCTGCTACTCCCTGGGATGACATGAGAAGTTTCTAGGACTGGGCAATGCCCCTGGGTTTAGAGAGGTGCTTTCCCACGTTGTACACTGGCTCTAGTCATTACATCTTAACCAGACTCCACTGACCTGCTCTCAGCTGCCCAGGCTCAATCCTTTCCCAGCTCTGTGCCAAGCAGATTCACTTCCCTGAGGCTCAGTGTCCCCTTCTGTGAAATAGAGTTAATCACAGTACTGCACAGTAGGGTTTTGAGGATTCAGTGAGTTTGCCTGTGAGTAATTGGTATCTGCAAAGCTCCAGACCTGTACTAGTTATAACTTGTGTCATTGTTATTAACAATAAGATTTAAACTAACATTCTTTCTTCAACATTTCTACTCCAGAGCCCAATGGAGACCAAGACTGATACACTATACTCATGGTAGGTGTTCAATGTGCTCCCTTTTTGTGTGCTCACCCTCACCACACCCAAGACAAACTTAGGGCTGGTTAGGAATCCCCAGCCCTGCATGGGGGAGAGGGCAGAGCTCTATTCCCCCACCGCTTCCCCTCTCTGTCAGCCCCCGCACTGGCCTTGTTGTTTTTCTGCCAAGCCAAGGGAAGGGAACCCACCGACTTCACCAGCCCCACCTCCCAGGCCCAAGAGCCCTACCCTCTCCCCACCATGGCATCTTGAACAGATCTTAGTCTATGGCTCTTGATGGGGGGTGGCTGTGGGATGGGGGCCACTGAGAGAGGAGGGTTACAAAAGCTGTGCCTTGCTTTCCCAGTGGCCTCCCGGGGGCCAATGAATGCACAGAGCTGCAGCCGGGGGGCAGCCAGCGTGTTTTCATTTTGCTCTGTTTGTTTTCTGTTTAGATCAACTGCTCAGTTCTGGTTTGGGCCTCTGAGGGCTGATGGGGTTTGGCAGGTAAGAATTTCTGGGGGCCACCCATCTCTGCCTTCTACAGTGGGCTCAGCTCCTGCCAGCCCCTGCAGAAGCAGGAAGCCAGCCTGCCCTACTGCCTTGCTAGCCTCTTTCTTTCCTTTCCTCTCCCTTTCCCTTTTCTCTTTTCTTCTCTTTCTTTCTCTCTCCTTCCTTCCTCCCTTCCTTCTTTTTTTCTCTCTTTCTTTTTCTTTCTTTCTCTATTCCCCACCCTCACTCTCTCTTGCTCCCTCTCCCCTCTGTCTCTCACATCTCTCTCTCTCTCAGAGTTTGTTCCTGTCTCTTTACTACCTCACTGTGCAGTAGCTTTTTCTGTCTGTTTTGCCATCTTTTTCCCTTTTTTATTTCTATTTCTCCTGTTCTTTTTCTTTGGAGAGCCTGAGTTCTGGCTCAGCTTCTACCCTAGCTCTCTCTGAATAACCTTCAGCAAATAGTTCTTTCCCATCTCTGAGCTTCAGTTTCCCCATCTGCACACTGAAGGCTCTAACTTATGTGATGGATGAAATCTAAGCTAGAAGATCTTGTGACTATTTACTCCTTGCAGGGGATAAGAGGGAGGGGATGGATCCAATTCTCTAGGGAGCAGGACCACACAGTGCAGCCTAGATGGGAGGAGAGAGGCAGGTCAGTGGAGTGTCTCCTTGGGCAGTGAAGGTTCATGGGAAAGGGCAGAGATGGAGGAGAACACCCTTGCTGGTACCAAAACCCAGTCTAGAGAAACCAAGGAACAGACGGGGACCGCGGGTCTGGAAAAGTAGAGGCGCCAACCCAGCAGTGGCAGACGACAGGGCTTAAAAAGCAGCACACTGGTCTTGATGTTTGGTGTTCCATCTGCTTTCCATGCAGCCTGGGATCAGGCCGAAGGCCAGGGGCTCTCTATCTTCCAGCTTGCCTCTTTTCTCGCTGTGGTGTCTGCCCCATACTCTCTGGTGACTTGAGGGTGGATGAGTAGGGGCAAGGGCGTGTTGTCAATCCTTGCATGGCTTCCTCCTCTGGTCTCACCAAGGAGGATGAGGAGGCATGGGTGGGAATGGAGAAGGAGTTTGGTTTGGTGTGCAGTATGTCTGAGGCACTGAGACCTACTGCACACCAAACCAAACTCCTTCTCCATTCCCACCCATGCCTCCTCATCCTCCTTGGTTTCTTTCCTGACGAATGGTGCAGCCATCTTCCCAGGAGCTCAGGACCTGGCTCTGGTTTCCCCTAACCTCACCTCTCACATCCAATCTAGTTCTAGTAATGTGGCCTCTAACCTTTCTCTCCAACCCCCAGGCCTCCCCAGCACCCCTACCCACCGCCACTGCCATGGCCCCAGCCCTTGCAACCACCATTTCCCACTCAGCTCCTTCCACAGCCACCTCTTGCACCCATGTCTTCTGTCTCACCATCTCTAGTTCTGCCTCCACACAGCTGCCAAGATCACCATAATTCTGGGACCTTGAGGTAATTTCATGGGTTTGGTTGTTACATATATATGACTGTTATAAACATTTGTGTGATGTCTTTCCGGATGGAATTGCTGGTTCATAGGTTAGAGTACATTCAGCTTTCACAGATACTGCCTCATAGTTTGCCAACAGGTTGTACCGATTTACACTCCTGCCAGCAGTGTATGAGAGTTTTAGTGACTCTCATCTTCACCAATATTTGGGCATTTCTGTTTTCTTTCATTTTATTCATTCTAGTGTTGATGATGACATCTCATTACAGTTTTAATTTACATTTTCTTTTTGACTAAGCACCTCTTCATATGTTTATTATCTATCTTGATATTCTGTTTTTGTGAAGCACCTATCAAAGTCTTTTGCACATTTTTCTATTGGTTTGCCTAATATATTCTGAATGATGACTCCTTTCCCAGATATATCTATTGCAAATATTTTCTCCCATTCTGTTGGTTGTCTTTTCATTAGCTTACCAGAACCTTTTCATGACCAGAATGTTTTTATTTTAATATAGTCCAAATTGTCAAATTTCGTTTCCATGGATAACATTTTTAAAGAAATCGTCTACTCCAAGGATACAAAGTTGTTCTCCTATATTTTCTTCTAAAAGCTTTATTGTGTTGCCTTTCACATTTGTATTTGCAATCTATCTGGAACTGATTTCTGTGTATGGTGTGAGGCAGGGGTCAAGACACAGATTTTTCCCCCATGGCTATCGAACTGATCCAGCACCATTTATTTATTTATTTATTTAAAAGAATACAATCTACAATCTACTGCACCTACAATCTACTGCAGTGTCATTTTGTCATAAATTAATTAATCATACATGTGTGGCTCTGTTTTTGAATTTTCTTTTCATTTGGCAGTTTCTATATCTTTGTGCCAGTACCACAGTGTCTTAATTACTTACTATAGCTCTCTGTGTCTTGATATCTGGTAGTAAGAATTCTCCAGCTATGTTCTTCTCCTTTAAGATTACCTGGAAAACTCCTGGCTCTTTGCATCCCCATCTGAATTTCAGAACCAATTTGCCCATTTTCAATTAAAAAAGCACTTGCTAGCATTTTTGCATGAAATCACACTGACTCTATTGATTAATTTGGAAAGAATTGACTTTTTCAAAATATTAATTTTTCTAAACCACAGATATGGATTGTCCATTAATTTATTTATGTCTCCTTTAATTTCTCTTCATAATGTTTTATAGTTGTTGGTGTCAAGATTTTCCACATTACTCATTAGATGTATTCCTATTTCATATTTATCCTATTAAAAATGGTAAGATTCTTAAAACCTCATTTTTCTCTTTTTTGCTACTATCTGGAAATACAATTAATCTTTGCATATTGACCTTCTATCTAGTGATCTGGCTAAATTCACTTATGAGTTCTATTATTTTGTAAATAGAGTTTTGGATTTTCTATGTACACAATGATGCTGAATGCAAATAATGGCCATTTTACTTCCTCCTTTCCAATCTTTTATTTCTTTTTCTTGTCTTATTGCACTGATTAGGACCTCCAGTGCATTGGGAAATATATATATATATTTTTTTTTAATTATTTTTTTTTTGAGATGGAGTCTCACTCTGTCACCCAGGCTGGAGTGCAGTGGTGCAATCTTGGCTCACTGCAGACTCCGTCTCCCAGGTTCAAGCGATTCTCTTGTCTCAGCCTCCCAAGTAGCTGGGACTACAAGTGTGTGCCACCACATGGCTAATTTTTTATTTTTAGTAGAGACAGGGTTTCACCATGTTGGCCAGGCTGGTCTCAAACTCCTGACCTCAGCTGATCTGCCCACCTCGACCTTCCAAAGTGCTGGGATTATGGGAGTGAGCCACTGCACCTGGCCAGCTTTCAACATTTCACAATGAAGGCCCAGTGTGGTAACTCACACCTTTAATCCCAGTACTTTGGAGGGCCGAGGCAGGTGGATCACCTGAGGTCAGCAATTCAAGATCAGCCTGACCAACATGGTAAAACTGTGTCTCTATTTAAAATACAAAAAAAAAAAAAAAAAAAAGCCAGGTGTAGTGGCACGTGCTTGTAGTTCCAGCTATGAGGAGGCTGAGGTAAGAGAAACACTTGAACCCAGGCAGCGAGGGTTGCAGTGAGGCAAGATCACATGACTGCATTCCAGTCTGGGAGAAAGAGGGAGACTCCATCTCAAAAGAAAGAAAAATTCACAATGAAGTATGTTGTTTGCTGAGGGTTTTTCATAGATGCTCTTTGTCAGGTTGAGGAAGCTCCCTTCTATTCCTAATGTGTTAAGACTTTTATCATAAATGGGTGCTAAATTTTGTAAAATGCTTTTAATGCATCTATCGTGATTTTTCTCATTTTTACTGTTAGGTGAATTAATATGATTGGTTTTTGATTGTCAAACCCCCCTTGAATTCCTCAATTAAAACTCATCTGCTCATAACAAATTCTTTTGATATATTACTGGATTCCATTTGTTAATATTTTATTTCACTTTATTTAATTTTGAGACAGGGTCTAGCTCTGTCACTCAGTCTGGGATGTAGTGGTGCAGTCATAGCTCGCTGCAAGCTCAAACTCTTGGGGTCACATGGTCCTCCCACTTTGGCCTTCCAAAGTGCTAGGGTTATAGGTGTGAGCCACTGTGCCTGGCCAGCTAATATTTTAAATCATACTTTGTTCTGTGATAATTGTAGATTCACATGCAGTAGTAAGAAATTATACAGAGATATAATGCATTCTTTCCAAGTTTCCTCCAATGTTAATGTCTTGCAAAAATACAATACTGTATTACAACCAGGATGTCGACATTGTTTCAGTCAAGTTATAGTACAGGCTGAGGTCATGCCTGTAATGCCAGCACTTTCGGAGGCTGAGGTGGGAGGATGGCTTGAGTCTGGGAGTTCAAGACCAGCCTGGCATTACAAAATAGCAAGACCTTGTATCTAAAAAAAAATTAAAAAATAAAAAACAAAGTGCTGGGATTACTCCCAGCACTTTGGGAGGCCGAGGCGGGGGGATCATCTGAGATCAAGAGTTCGAGACCAGCCTGGTAAACATGGTGAAA